CCACTCCATCCACACCCACCCAGTAGGCTGCACCTACCCTGGCCACACCCACCCGGCCCCCCAAGGGCAATCGCAATGCTGATGCGGCCCTCAATGAAATTGAGTTTGACACTCCTGATCTAGATAGACAGAAACTTGATTTCAGCCATTGTCTAATAAAAAGATATTCATAAAAAAAATAAACTTAACCCCTAATAACAATGACTACTATTAGGCTATTAATGGGCAAAGCTTACACATAATGTAGCAAAAATTTGCTCTTTTTTGGAGAGATAGATTTATCATGGTTATCTAACAAATAATGCAAATAAATATTATTAGAGTTCCACAGAAATTTAAATAAAAAGGGGTAATCCACTGATGATGAATGTCCCTATAGACACTGGCAGTAGAAAAGAATCTGGGCTTTGGTTTTATAACACCTGTTTACAGGTTTCATGCAACAGACTAAAGGTAATTTAATAAGTTTGGATTGGATAGAACTGGAGAATGGAAGACAAGAAACAAATGTCTGCAAGAGCTTGCCACAGTGTGGTTTATCTGGTTTTGATTTATGGTCTTGTATAATTTTACCAATTGTAGTTTATTGAATAAACCACTGTTATTTAACTTTGGCTAAGTGCAATGTACTAATCTGATTTTATAGTCCAATCTTGTGTTCCAATCTTTCTCAGCCTGCTCCTTCCACAAGTACTGGAACCTCTTTTGGTCATACTGGTGGGGCATTATGAGATTTATAATCTCAACACATATGTTCAGATACAGGTTTAGGGTTAATTTTTATACAGATAGTGGTACTCACTTATATGGCAAACAAACAAGTATTGATCAGTTTTGAAGTGCCCTAAGAAGTTTTTTTTTTTTTTTCATGTTCTTCTGTACTCTGAAGAACTATGAGACAAGACTGGTTTATGCTGAAGAACAGCTCAGTTTAAAGCTTTGACTTCTAAGCAGGAATTTGCTCATAGCAGTTACCAGCTTGTCTAGGATTATATTAGCAAAGGAATGTGTGGGAAAACTGTAATTTTTCATTGTCATGATGACATTAGTGGGCCATACATAACTGAGTTGACATCTGCTTATTAAATTCTTACACCACTTTGCCCCAAACACTCATGCATTAATTCGTGTTTAAATCTCTCTGCATGACATAAGGAAAGCTCCATGTGGTAGAGCAGAATGAAAAGTATCTTGGCTAAGATAAAACAGGGGCGGGGAGGATTAGGACAGGCTAAGTCCCCAGATGTGTCTCTTTCCCCTAAGCAGAACTTGTCAGGATTAAAGAGTGACAGCATTCAGCTACAATTAGAATAAACACACATGTTGATTTCTGATATGTCACTTTCATTCACTTTGGCCCATGATCCCATTCAAGTTCTGTATTAAGGTGTTACGGAATCTCTGGCATTTTCCCTTCCTGGAACAGTCCCTTGTTTCACCTCTATATACATTGATGTACTTTTTAATTTTATTTTTTTAATTTAAAATGTTTATAGAGACACATGAAAGGCATCAGATTTCCTAACTCTAATTTAGTGAATCAAATGAAAACAAAATTGAATTACTCCTTGCAACCATTATTTAACAAGTTTCGATAATTCAGAAATAACTGAACAGCAATACAATCAATTGAAAAAATGGATACATTCTTGAGCTCAAATATATTGGCTTCCTTGGAAATCCCTGTGAACTTGGATGCATTGGAGATCATTTTTTTCCAAGAGATAAATCGGGAATCTTTTTATCAACACTTTAAAAACCCTACTGCAGAGCTTTTCAACCTTTTCACAGATTGTACCACTTTTAGGACATGACAATATTCGAGTATCACCAGTGTTTAGCAAGATGTCAAAAATTTGATGACTGAAAAAAAAAGAGGCGGGATTTTGGGTTTTACTGATTAGATTTATTTGTTGTTATAGAAATGGCTAGTTTATACTATTATGGAAAAGTAAAAAGTTGAGGTTCGATGTTAATGCTTCATTCTACTGCAACAAAGGAAGTCGGAAGTCAATAACCTTTTCTTTTTCCCTTCTCCCCCTCACATTCCCCCCCCTTCTTCTTCCCCACTATCTCCTACTATTTGCTTTTGTATTTTTGTATTTTATTCCATAATCTAACAAAATGTTACAAACTGTAAAAAAAAAAAAAGGAAAAAAGTACCGGTTTTAATTTCTTCGGTAGAAGTTCCTTTGCTCTCAGGCCACGCGGAGGACCCCCGGCAGTGCAGGCTACCCAGAGCCCTGGGCAGTGGAGGGCAAGCGCCCAGCTCAGCCCAGCCTTCCCCAAGCACCCCACTGCTGCATTTAGCTTCTCCTTGAGGCTCAGCTGCTTGGCTTTCTCTCCTTGGCCAGATTGCTCATAGTGTGTGCAGGAGGGCAAAATGTGTGGGTCAGAGGGAGGCCCAATCCTTCTCCATGTGAGGAGACCTGGCTTTGTAACCAAAGCATCCTCAGTGATAGGATGGGAGACCATCAGGAGAGTCAGGAGGGGACAAGGGAATGGCAAAAGAACAACAGGGCTGGTCATGGCCAAGTGCTAAGGCAGGCCTTCCCTCAAACCCTTCCTCCCTCTCATTATAATCTCCTTCCTTCCTTCCTTCCTTCCTTCCTTCCTTCCTTCCTTCCTTCCTTCCTTCCTTCCTTCCTTCCTTCCTTCTTTCCTTCCTTCCTTCCTTCCTTCCCTGCTTGTTTTTTTAAAACTGCCAGAGGATCCGGGCAGAGGTGGAAACAGGCAGGCAGTGGTGGGCAGAGGCTTCATATTTTGACCCCTCCCCCATGTTGTTGCCTCTGCGTGGCTCTAAGCTCACCTATCCCAGACCCTTGCACGTGTTTGTGTGTGGGGGAGGGCTTCACCCCTTGCAGCCCTGCACCCTCAACAGAGACCTTCTGCGATGGCAGGCTGCAAACTATTGAAAGCTGTTTTTGTTTCTTTTTCTCAACGTGTCACCGATCACATTGCACCCTGCGCCCCTCAGCTCTCACCTCCAGCCCCGTGGAAGGCTGCAAGAAGCTCCCATCGCAGCTTCTCTTATCTGCTCCCCTTCTTTTCCTCCCCAATGCCACAGTGTTGGGCTGCAAGAGGTGAAACTTCCCCACGTGTGCACACACACACACACACACACACACACACACACACACACACACGTGCAAGGGTCTGGGAGAAGTGAGCTGAGAGCCAGGCAGAGGTCTTTCAGGCAGAGGCAAGGATGGGAGGAGGAGTCAAAATGGGAAGCCTCCTGCCCGGAGGCCCCCAGGAATGCTGGGCCTTGTGTGATCACTGCCTCCTCCTATGCATGGGCCCAAGGGGTGGGGCTGAGGCGGCGAGGCAGCCCGTCGCTGGTTCCAGTGCTGCCCCGTGGATCTAAGGCTGAGTGCATTCTGGCTTTGATAGTAGCTACAAGGTTGTAAATCAGCACCCGTTCAGCCTGGGCCGGCCTCTCTTCTTTCTGAGCGGTCAGCAGGGATGGTGGTGCTTGCCACCTAGAGTGCGTGTGCCCAGGGTGTAGGGTGGTGGTAGCTCCTTGCTGGCCCTTTCCTGCCAAAACCTCCTCTTTTTATATCCTTTCCTCTCTTTCCCCCTCCTTTTCTGTGCACCTTTAGCTATGCGCTGCTTTCGGAAGTGCCAATCAACTGGAGCCGGCACTGAGACCCGACAGCTCTGCAGAAGCACCGATCAGTTTGAAGCCACGTACGCAGATCCTGGGGCCTCTGCCGAGCCCTGACAGCCCTGCAGCTCCAGCTTCTGTGATGCTGGAGCTGTAGCTTCTGTGATGCTGACACTGCTTCAGCTCATTCCTCTCCCCTCCCCTCTCTAGGACGGTCACATACCACCGGCCAGGTGCCAAAGTACTACCAATTAAAAAGCGCTGCCCTACTGAAATAGATACGAATGAAATACAAGAAATTTAGAATAGAGAACTGGAGTTTTCTACACTACAAAATCAGTGATCTCAGCTTTTAACACACAATTACCTTTCTTATAATCTAAGCACAAGATTAATTACAGGTAGTCTTCAACTTATGACCACAACTGAGCCCAAAATTTCTGTTGCCCTATTTTACAACCTTTCTTGCCATAGTTGTTGAATGAATCAGTGCAGTTGTTAAGTTAGTAGCATGGTTGTTAAGTGAATCTACCTTCCCCATTTGCATGTCAGAAGGTCACAAAAATGATCACATGATATCGGGACACTGCAACCATCACAAATATGAGACAGTTGCCAAGCGTCTGGATTTTTATCTGTGACCATGTGGAGATGCTGCAATGGTCATAAATGTGAAGAAATGTTGTATATTACTTTTTTCAGTGCCACTGTAACTTTGAATGTTCACTAAACAAATGGTTGTAAGTCAAGGACTACCTGTAATCAAAATTATATGTCATATCATTGGACCAATTAACTTTTAAAAAACAATATCAAACTCTGCTTTGGAGATATTCCTTGTTTTTTTCTTATTGGTTTACTATTCATGCTATGGTGAACCAAATTCAGGGAGCTGATTTAAGCTGCATTGCTAAATTATATTCCAAAACATTGGAATTTGTCTATTTATTAAGAAATTTGAATTAATCATGCCTGAACTGTTGTCAAAATTTATCATATGTTCCTGGAAAGACATATGTGTACTGGATACCAAAGGTTGGCTTGATAAAAATGTCAACTTTCACTTTTTGAATGGACTCTTTTCAGAATATCCATTGGATGATATAATTTTATGTGGTCAAGATTTTTTTGCTAAAGATGAGTTGTAGCAGTTCTTAAATAAACATAATTAGTCCTGTCATAATTGATTTAGCATTTTTCTTTTGCTTTTAATATAATAGGTCTTTAATGTCTTCTTTTAATTTATATGGGTTCACTTATTTTGTTTTTTGTTTTCTAGATGTATAAAATAATAAATACTATCAAAGATATGTTCCATATTTTACTCTAATTAGGAAGAATAATGATGACAGGTAGCAGTATCACACTGAGGAGGTGGGATGAGTTCTCCTACCTGGCGTGGCGGATGCGGCTCCTGATAACTGGGCAGGATCTTGAGTACAACACTTCCACTTGCATTTTTTAGCACTTCTTGGAGGGCTCGTGGATCACTGCCCACCTCTTGCCCATTCACCTCCTTGATAATATCACCCACATGCAGCAACCCCTGCTGATCAATCATGCCACCATGTAGGATACGTGCAATAACCAGCTCACCACGCTCCACACGGAAAGTCACACCCTAGGACAAGAGAAATAAATGCAAACCCAGGGACCTTGGATGATTTGAAAAAACAACTCTAAGCTAAAGTCAAACTTGGTTATAGGCTATAGGCTAGGCTGGGAAGTTTTTTTAAAAAAAACCCTACCTCTTGAATGAAAGAATGGCATACTAGTTCCCTGTTATTTTTAAGAAAATAAGATAGATGGACCCTGTAGTTTCCAGGAGTTGACTTTAATTCAAAATTCTTTGATGGTGATAATTACATGCCATTAGGTCATAGAAACTTTTTAACACATAGATTTTCTTCACAAACATCTGTCCCCAGCCTGGCCTTCAGATCTTCCAATGGTGCATCTATCAGCACTATAATCACACACATAGACAAACACACATTACAATGAGATAGCACAGCAGGACTTGATGGGGGAGCTAAGAGTCTTTACCTTTCTAATATTCATATAATGTTTTGCCTTTTCTGTTCAGTTACCAAGAGCGTCTATTACTCATCCCTTAGATACCTCCCTCATGAATTGCAAAATGCAGTCAATTGAGGTATTGGGAAGGGGGGAGTTTGAGACTGGCTAAGAAGAACACGCAGAAATCCTCCTAAGCTTCTCCAAGCTTCATATTCTCTCTTTTTTTTCTTTAAAGGTGAATTTTCCTTTTTTTATTTTTATTTTCCAAATACATGTTATAACATCTATACAGAATGTAAGATAATGGTAATTTAGGGAGGAAAATGAAATGTGGACAGATAGCCAACACATCTTGAATAGGAAATCTAAAATATCATATAGTTAATATATTCTACTACATAATGAAAAATTTTAAATGCTATACGGGATTTCAGAAAAGTGAATTTTCCAAAGCACTTTCACAGCAATAGATGTTAGAGGCATCAGCTGGTCAGGGATGAACACAGCCAGGAATTCTATGGGAAGTACATGTTCATTTAAAATGTACTACATAAGTAAAACTAAATAAAACAGTTCAGAAACACTTTAAAAACAATGATAGATGACAGCAAAATTAGAAGCAGAAATTATAATGACAAGAATCCCCTTCCCTTCTATTCTTTTTCTAACTCAGATATTTTCAAAACTTTAAGCATTCTTCACACTCTCTGATCTTTCAGTTCCTCTCTATATTTTCATCCCATATCATGTACCTGCATAACTGGCTGGCAATTTATATCAGTTTATATTGACTCAGGAATAGACTGCACTGTCTGATTATTTGGAAATAATTCAATTTATTTCTATACAATTAGATTTAATTTATTTCTAAGCATTTAGACTCAGACCTCTCCATTAACAAAAGATGAATTTTCATTCTCATGTCAAATAACACAAATCTGCTTATACCAAACCTTTTTTGTTTTGTAACACTTTCTTCCAGTATCTAATAGGTTTTTCAATACTATCAAATATTAGATGGTAAGCTCTTTGAGGCAACAATTTTGTTCTATGTTTTTGAACATAATTTATGTTGACACTATACAAAAGCCAACAACTGGTATAAAATTCAGCCTGTGGAAGGTATTTGCTCACCAGGTGTTCTCCAGCAGTCTTACGAATTCCCACCATACGTACAGCATCTGGTGGAACTGGCTGGTTGTTGAACATGGGGTCCAGGACAGGACTGGGTGGTGGAGTCTCGTAGCTCTTAGAGGCAACAGAATCATGGGTTTCCAAAAGGGACTGAGAAAAGGGAAAGAAAGTGATAGCAACAGAGCAAAGGGGGGGGGGAAGGAAAGGCATAATCAGCTGAGATCAGAAACTAGCAAATCAAACATATGGGGAGGTGACTAAGGTTAGGATGGGCAATGCCAGTGGGTATCCAAATGGTCTTGAATGCCAATGCCTATCCAGGTAGGCTATCCAGCACGAAGTCAGCATTAAAGTAGAAGAATACATTTCCCAGGGAAATACTGCAAGCTGTTAGCTCAGTCATAAAACATTTAAACACAAACAAATATTGGTTATAACATTAAATGAGCTTAAAAGTGAAACAAATAGAAGATACTCTTACATCCAGAAAAGGTAACATTCCAACAGTGACTGTTCTTAAAGACTGCTTTAATTTAATAAGCTATTGCATTTATAGTGCCACTCTCATTTTTGCCATCCTGACTAATTTTACTACAATCAAATCAACTATTAGGTTAAATATGCATAGATTCAATATATATTGTGTATGGACATGGACTTGTATATTGTAATGTAATAATATAATTTACAGGTTAGAGACATTGCATCCTTCTCCCCTTTTTTAGGACAATCTTGCTGCCTCTTATACTGTGCTGAGCAATCTATGCTTCACTGAAACTGTGTTTCACCAAAGATTAGCCATTTGGCAACCTGGAAACTTTGCCAGTCTACCTGTCTCTTTGTGGATGACTGCCTGTCATGATGAGGACCTCCTGCAGGGCTGGGTGCCCTCTGGAAAAACTCTTTCAATTTTCCAAAGGTGTTGTTGTTGTTGTTAATTGCGAAGTCGTGTCCGACCCATCGCGACCCCATGGACAATGTTCCTCCAGGTCTTCCTGTCCTCTACCATCTTCTGGAGTCCATTTAAGTTCACACCTACTGCTTCAGTGACTCCATCCAGCCATCTCATTCTCTGTCGTCCCATTCTTCTATTGCCCTCAATCTTTCCCAGCATTAGGCCCTTCTCCAGTGAGTCCTTCCTTCTCATTAGGTGGCCAAAGTATTTGAGTTTCAACTTCAGGATCTGGCCTTCTAAAGAGCAGTCGGGGTTGATCTCTTCTAGGACTGACCGGTTTGAACGCCTTGCAGTCCAAGGGACTCGCAGGAGTCTTCTCCAGCACCATAGTTCAAAGGCCTCAATTCTTTGGCGCTCAGCCTTTCTTATGGTCCAACTTTCACAGCCATACATTGCAACTGGGAAAACCATGGCCTGGACTATACGCACTTTTGTTGGCAGGGTGATGTCTCTGCTTTTTAGAATGCTGTCTAGATTTGCCATAGCTTTCCTCCCCAGGAGCAAGCGTCTTTTAATTTCTTGGCTGCAGTCCCCATCTGAGGTGATCTTGGAGCCCAGAAAAATAAAATCTGTCACTACCTCCATTTCTTCCCCATCTATTTGCCAGGAATTGAGAGGGCCGGATGCCATGATTTTGGTTTTCTTAATGTTGAGTTTCAAGCCAACTTTTGCACTCTCCTTCTTCACCCGCATCAAGAGGCTCTTTAGTTCCTCTTCACTTTCTGCCATTAGAATGGTATCATCTGCATATCTTAGGTTGTTGATATTTCTCCCGGCAATCTTAATTCCAACTTTTGATTCATCTAGCCCTGCCTTTCTCATGATGTGCTCTGCATATAAGTTAAATAGGCAGGGCGACAGTATACAGCCTTGCCGGACTCCTTTTCCAATTTTGAACCAATCAGTGGTTCCGTGTTCAGTTCTCACTGTTGCTTCTTGACCCACATATAGGTTTCTCAAGAGACAAATAAGATGGTCTGGTGTTCCCATCTCTTTAAGAACTTGCCACAATTTGTTGTGATCCACACAATCAAAGGCTTTAGCATAGTCAATGAAGCAGAAGTAGATGTTTTTCTGGAACTCCCTAGCTTTCTCCATGATCCAGTGTATGTTGGCAATTTGATCTCTAGTTCCTCTGCCTCTTCGAAATCCTGCCTGTACTTCTGGTAGTTCTCGATCTACATACTGCTGGAGTCTAGCTTGTAGGATTTAAGCATAACTTTACTAGCAGTTACAATGAGTGCAATGGTGCGATAGTTTGAACATTCTTTAGCATTGCCTTTCTTTGGAATTGGAATGTAAACTGACCTTTTCCAATCCTGTGGCCACTGTTGAGTTTTCCAAATTTGCTGGCAAATTGAGTGTAGCACTTTTACTGCATCGTCTTTTAAGATTTTGAATAGCTCAGCTGGAATACTGTCACCTCCACTAGCTTTGTTGTTGCTCAGATTTTCTAAGGCCCATTTCACTTCACATTCTAGGATGTCTGGTTCGAGGTCAATGACCATCTCATTGTGGTTATCTGGGATGTTAAGCTCATTCTTGTATAGTTCTTCTGTGTAGTTTTGCCATCTCTTCTTAATCTCTTCTGCCTCTGTTAGGTCTCTGCCATTTGGTCCTTTATCATGCCCATCTTTGCATGAAACGTTCCCTTCATATCTCCAATTTTCTTGAAGAGATCTCTGGTCCTCCCTATTCTGTTGTTTTCTTCTATTTCTTTGCACTGTTCATTTAAGAAGGCATTCTTATCTCTTCTAGCTACTCTCTGGAATTCTGCATTCAATTGGGTGTATCTTTCTCTTTCTCCTTTGCCTTTCGCTTCCCTTCTTTCCTCAGCTATTTGCAAAGCTTCCTCAGACAGCCATTTTGCTTTCTTGCATTTCTTTTTCTTTGGGATGGTTTTAGTTGCTACCTCTTGTACAATGTTGCGAACTTCCATCCATAGTTCTTCAGGCATTCTGTCTATCAGATCTAATTCCTTAAATCTATTTGTCACCTCTACTGTATATTCATCAGGAATATGATTTAGTTCATACCTGAGTGGCCTAGTACTTTTCCCTACTTTTTTCAATTTAAGCCTAAATTTTGCAACAAGAAGCTCATGATCTGAGCCACAGTCAGCTCCTGGTCTTGTTTTTACTGACTGTATAGAGCTTCTCCATCTTTGGCTGCAGAGCACATAGTCAATCTGATTTCTATGTTGACCGTCTGGTGATGTCCATGTGTAGAGCTGTCTCTTGGGTTGTTGGAAAAGAGTGTTTGTTATGACCATCGTATTCTCTTGACAAAATTCTATCAGCCTGTGCCCTGCTTCATTTTGTACTCCAAGGCCAAACTTGCCTGTTATTCCGGTTATCTTTTGGCTTCCTACCTTAGCATTCCAATCCCCATGATGATAAGGACATCATTTTTTGGTGTTAATTCTATAAGGTGCTGTAGGGCTTCATAGAACCGGTCAATTTCATCCTCTTCAGCACCAGTGGTTGGGGCATAGATTTGGACTACTGTGATATTGAATGGTTTGCCTTGGATTCGAATTGAGATCATTCTGTCATTTTGAGGATTGTATCCCAGTATTGCTTTTCCTATTCTTTTATTGACTATGAAGGCTACTCCATTTCTTCTGAGGGATTCTTGCCCACAGTAGTATACCTGATGGTCATCTGAGTTAAATTCACCCATTCCTGTCCATTTTAGTTCGCTGATTCCTAAGATGTTGATGTTCAGTCTTGTCATCTCTTTTTTGACTACGTCTAGCTTGCCTTGATTCATGGATCTTACATTCCAGGTTTCTATGGAGAAAAAATCTTTACAGCATCGGACTTTCCTTTCACCACCAGATATATCCACAGCTGAGCGTCCTTTCGGCTTTGGCCCAGTCGCTTCATTCTTTCTGGCGCTACTAGTACTAGCCCTCTGCTCTTCCCCAGTAGCATATTGGACACCTTCCGACCTGAGGGGCTCATCTTCCAGCGTCATATCTTTTTGCCTTTTAGTACTGTCCATGGGGTTTTCATGGCAAAGATACTGGAGTGGTTTGCCATTTCCTTCTCCAGTGGATCACATTTTGTCAGAACTCTCTGCTATGACCTGTCCGTCTTGGGTGGCCCTGCATGGCATAGCTTATAGCTTCATTGAGTTACACAAGCCCCTTCACCCCGACAAGGCAATAATCCATAAAGGGGATTTCCAAAGTAGTCCTTGCTTACTGACAATCACTCAAAACTTTCAATAAGCAACGTGGTCATAAGGTACAACATCATGTGACGACACTGACTTACAATGCCATTTCCAGTGGTTCCAGTTGTCCTTGCTAGGCAAATCCCACATAGTCGCATGTCCCGTGATCAACATTTGCAACCTTCTGGAGACTACCCCATTGACTTTTCTTGTCAGAAGCCAGCAGTAATGGTTGCAAATAGTGATCATGTGACCATGGCATACTGTGATGTCATAATTACAAGCCAATCACCAAGCATGCCAAATTGCAATTGTGTGACCATGGAGATGCTGCAATAGCTTCATCCATAAAGATCTACTATAAGTACCCCATGCTCATAACTTCAAATGGTCACTGAACATGTGAATGTTAAACGAGGACTATCTGTATACAATTTCTCAGGAAGAATAGGAGGAGGATGGCTACTCTAACAGCCTCCTATCTCAGTCAAAGAATTTTGGTACCTACTTTCTGACACACCAGCACATCCACTCTGCTGGTTCCGAAGTCCAGAATGATGACTCAATAAGAGATTCATCTTTTCCATTTTTTCACGATTTTAGATCTGTAAACCAGTTTGTGATTCCAATTCATCTTATTATTCCTGTTCCCAGCATAGTCCTTGCTTCTGTTCCTCCAGATGCATCTCACTTTTCTTTTGTGGATCTTTGGTTTTTTTTAGGTTGTCTATATCAAGGCTTTTCAACCTTTTCACCCATTGTACCACTTTTAGGATATGGCAATATCCGAGTACCACCAGTCGCCTAGCAAGGTGTCAAAAACTTGATGACAAAAAAAAAGGAAAAAAGTGATGTAGTCCTCGACTTACAAGAGTTTGCTTAGTGATTGTTCGAAGTTACAATGGCATTGAAAAAAGTGCCCCCCAAGCCACAGCCGAGCAAGACACCTGCCTGCCCACCCGGTGGTGCTCTTCCTCCTGTCTGAGGTTTTCATTGTTGTGAGCATTTCTGTTGA